ACCCTTTTTTTTACGTGCGAAAACCCCCTCGGGTCATCACCCCACAGGGGTTTGTGGCTGTGTGTGGTTTGTGTCGGAATCGAACCTACTAGATCCACAAGGTGTGCACACTCTGCGCCTAAAATATGCGGGCTCCGAGAACAGCCCACCGACCTTACGCAGCCTAACCCAATTTAAAAAACCAGAAAATCTCCGGATCGGGTCTTCAATATTTCTGAGAAGAGTTCTTCGATGCTTACTTTAAACTGTTATGGACTCAAACTATCAAGCCTGAAGCTCATTTTGAATTCAATTAATACCATAATGTCTGACCAACGCCTTGATTTGTCTAGATATTGGTAAAAAATAAAAGGTAGGACGATGACCGAAAAGAAACAATTGCCATACCAATAATCAATTTCGTAAGCCGTGTGCGGTTCATAGGTAATTCCTAAAAGGAAACGCCGGATGTAAAGAACCCAAGGGCAAAATAACAGTATTGTAACAGTTTCTTTCTCAATTCTATTACTCTGTTCTACTATATTTTCAATCTTATCGCAAGGTCTTAGAACTTAAAATGTGTTGTTTTATAAGACAGCATACATGACACGGTCAAAGAGTTTTAGTACGTAAATAATATTGCATAAATATATTGACTCATAGTACCGGCATTCTCGCAACATTTGCGGTACAACAGTTACGTAAAGTACCTTCATTGAAAGTAAAATGCGTCAGTTTGTCGTCACAGATGATGAAATGCGTATCTATTGTAATAATAATAATAGCAATTAGTTCCGCGGTTCTTAAGCAGTTATAAACACGTTTACTAACGCTGATAATCTTTTCAACTGAGGTACTTTAAAGGGCTCCACGGTGGGACCACAGAACTTTAACTGGCAGCTGAATTTTTAGTACAGATTCTAAATATTCTCTTCCGAGACGATATGTGAATCACTGACTATTAGAATCTAAGACAAAAAAATAAACTGTGGTTTTTCGGAATTGCTTCTAACCAAACATTTAAATATTACATCTGCCCATGGGTCATAGCAAAAGGATCGGTCATAATCGGCGATAGGTTGGTCGATGGTGTAGTAGTTTAAGCAGTCGCCACGCCGCTTACTACTAGGTACGCTAAGTGTTGAAGGTTCGATTTGGGGGGAAGGCACTCTAACTCTTGAGTAGCAGGTGTCCATAGGAGGTGGTGCTTAGTCATTTACCACTGGGTAACTCGTCTGTCTGCGTGTCTGCATATTCTTTACATACTTAGTATTGACTGCACGGATGGCGTAGTGGTTTAAGCGATCGCCACGCCGCTTTCTACTACGCCGAGTGTTGTGGGTTCAAACCCCACATGGGGCGACACTTTGTGTGATCCTCAAATTTTTGTTCTGAGTCTGGGTGTTCTTTGTGTCCGTTTCATGTATGTTTGTAAAGTCCCCCGCGACACAGGATTTATTCCTAGTGCGGGCGTTGTCTTTTTTAAAAAAAAAAAAAAAAGTATAAAATAAAGTCTGTTTTTTGTATTGCACGCTTAGATCTTTTAAACTAAGCAACAGATTTTGATGCGGTTTTCACCAATAGAGAGAGTAATTTAAGAGGAAGGTTTACATGTATAATACATACATATTATAATAGAGAAAACTCGAGAATTTCAAAGATTTGTCGGAACAAACATGTTTTTTGTGCTTATGTTGCAAACGCTGGCTAAGGAACAACCAAAATAACGTACTACGGAATTGTATTTCTTAAAAAGATCTACAAAAGGTCCGTCATGTTATATGTCTATCTCCTAAGGATAACCCACAGTAACCATTTGTATCTTTTAAACATTACAAAAAACAATGGGTTATTTACGAAGCTATTTTAAACAATACATTATTATTCAATTAAATACGTTAGATACGTTGTGCATTTGATGTTAATTAAAATTGCTCTGTCCACCATATCCATCGAACCGACTTCTACGAGTAACAATACTAACAAAACTAAAAATCTAGCAGCCATCGCGGTTGACTGTCATTTTTTGAAGAGTTCCGTTGTCTGTCTCTGAAACGCATCATCAATCTATATGAAATTTAAATGGGACAATTTCGGCATAAACCCCCCTCGAAAAAAGATGAAAATCAGACGGAGTTATGTCCGAACATACTTAAACCACCACCCCTATTCATCCCGTGGGTGTCGTAAGAGGCGACTAAGGGAGCGAAATACGCAGGACACCAGCACTGCAGAGAGAAGAAACTTGACACAAACCCTATACCAACCCGTCTGGCTAGCGTGGTATAGTAGGCCAAAACCTCCTTTCTAAGGAGAGGCCTATGTCCAGCAGTGGATTGTTAAAGGCTGTTGATGATACTTAAAAACATATGAACATCCGAATTGATAAACTCTTCCTTTTTGAAGTCGGTTAAAAAGCTCGAATACGGACCTAATAATTTATTAGAAATGTCTAACAAGCGAAAAAATCGAGGGTTCTTGGTCCTCTGAGGCTGATATTTAAAATTTATTTGGAACTAAAACCAAATTATACAAATACCCACATAAATTATTCCGTGTGCATCCGTGCGTGTTTGTGGACTTGCGTACTACAATAAACATACACAAACTGCGCCAAAAGAAGGATTATAACAATAATACATTTTGCCGACATCTGATACACGTCAACTACTATCAAACTAAGCAGAGTTTGTACTATGAAAAATAGATTGACTGATAGAATACTTATATATTTTATTTATGTGATTACACTAATGACGTACACATTATAATATGTACACATAGAAAACGCCCAAACTCCTAACCAAAATATGGTTATGTTTTTATTGGGTATTATGGAAAAAGTCGAAAGTTGTAATAATTGTTGTAATCTAAACAGCGTGATAGATTTTGGCTTGGAAAGTGTCGTCGCTAAATTTTTCTTAACTGTGTGACGCAGGGTATTTTAAATTATAAAAAATAAAATTGCCAGCTAGTAGCACATTTTCAAGGAGTAGTAATGGGTTTTTTGTTTTTCACCACTTCAAAAGAAGGAGGTTATCAATTCCGATGTTTTTTTTTATAAATGTTTGGGCATAACTCCGTCATATTTAGACGGATTTGCAAAATTATTTTTTGCTCAAAAGGGGCTTATTTCAAAGTGTCATTTAAATTTCATATAGATCTGATATTTGTTTCGGAGACAGACCACGGAACTCCTCCAAAAATGACAGCAAATCAACTGCGATTGGTGCTAGGCTTTTAGTGCTCTTCGTTAGAATTGTTTGAAATCGGTTCAACATTTTTTTTAATAATTTATTACTACAAAAATTTTCTTTAGTTTGAATCCGTACGGGTCAGAACATAATAGCGTCGAATAAAAGCTTATGGTGTGTCGTCACAACACAGTCTAATGCAAGGGACTTAGATGTAATCAGCTAGACCGTATTCTCTACAGCCGTATTCTCTAAAAATATTAAATTGAACTTTCAAATAAGCGAAGCTCCAGTGATATTTTTTTTAATAATTATTAACTAGAGATACCCTGGTGGTCGAATTATGACTGTAATTATGGTTTTAGTTATTTTGCTTTAAATCCTTATCCGGTATAAATGAAACTGCTATTGTATAAATTATTCGTACCTAACGTTTGAAACACAACTTAATTAGAGTAGTGCAGCGACATCTATCTTTAAATAACTGAAATTTTTTGAGGAGCTCAAAGTAGATTTCTAAATGAATATTATTATATCCACGTATTAAGATCGCTTTTAAGATTACCACTATTTATATTGAAATATGTAAATTATAACGTGCATATCAAGCACTAAGCCAGTTCTTTTAGTGTAAAGTAAAAGAGGCCTATAGGTATTGTGTTTTGCGGCTGATTGCCAATATAATATAATTAGGCGTAAATTAGAAGTCACTTGTGACATCCCTTTCATAGGCCTCCAAAAATACCCAAACTCAAAAATGAAATCCATGTGGAAAGAAAATTTCGCTTAACACAGCCCCTCAAACAGCCGATAGAAGAAAGTACTGCGAGAGATAATTGATAAATATAATAACAATAGATTTACCATTTCTGTTAAGCTTTCTAATGAGTGCATCAAGAATCAGGTTTCTTCTAATAATTCCGAAAATGAACACCTTCTGAATTCACCACGAGACTCTTAACAGCAGCAGCTGGGGTTTCGCAAATCACGTTTTGTGCAATCTCACACAGTCACCTTACATTAAAATGGCATATCTACTTTTAAACGACTTTAAAAAGCCAGAAGAAACCAAAGCAAACCTTCTTAGAGCGTGCAAAACAGTTTTTTATTCTAGTAAGATTTTTCAAATTACGAAAACATTTGATTGTTTCTTCTTTCATGCTTGACACGGTACATTTTTAAACGAATCAAAGAGTACTTTTACTAGTGCGACGGAGCTGAGATCGTGAATATTAGATGCTCATACGTCCGAAGTGACTGTTGACAAATAGGTTAATATAGGCTCAAAGGGGCGCCCCGGATGTCTTAATAAAAGGTGTTCTCGGATCCTTCCTATTCAAAGAGCAGTATGGCACACCGTGCGGTTATAGTCGGTTTGATTCCGATACACTGCCGCATCCATCCTTTGACTTTTATCAGTAAAAATGCTACTTAAATCAGTTTTCCACACAAAACTCTAATTATATTTGTATGTCCCGGACAAGTGCATAGGGCGGCGGAGGCGGCTCTCCCGGAGTGCCTGCCAATTTTCGTAGCTTTTCACCGAGTGAGTGAGGTTCCTGGAGTTCAAATCCCCCCTCCTCTGACTGTAGGTGGAAGGCCTCAAGATGCGGTAACGCATTTGGGAGTCTTGAGTTGCAGGCGTCCATGGGCTGCGGTAGTTACTTACCACCATGCGACCCATAAATAAATAAAACACTTAATTTATTATTCAACAAGTTTCTTACGCGAATAAAAACAGGATACAATCAAATAGAGTACAAAAATAACTGTGTAACAACGCCGACATTATTCACTTTTCTTCTTCGTTCTTTCTTCTTCTTTATATTAATCTACGCAGGTCATGTCATATGGCTCCTTGATAAAGTACAGATGCATAGTGAGCATTCCATACTCTTCAGGATACCTGTATATACACTCCGGTGCTCTTGGTGCATTCATCTGTAGAATCGAAAGTATTTCGCATTAATCATCATGATCAACAGCCTTTAATAGTACTCTGCTGGACATAGAAAAGGAGGCTTTGGCCTACTATACCACGATGGCCAGACAGGTTGGTATAGGGTTTCTTTCAAGTTTTCCTTCTCTTTGCAGTGCTGTTGTCCTGCGTAGTTTGCTACCTTAGTCAGCTTTTACTACAACCACGAGATGAATACGGATGGTGACACTCCGTCCTTTCTTAATCCGTCACCTCACAGCACTAGTAAAGCTACTTTAATTGCTGGCAACACCCTAACCCCATACACTTTTACAAACTCATGGGAGAGCCTTGCTTCGGCCCATACGACCCGGTTCAACAGAAGCGATACCAGGACCTCACAGGAAACCGGTGTTAAGTCGTTCCTTAGTTCCTTTTAACCTAGTGATTGGGGTCACCCCGAGGCCCAACTAATCTCACTAAAAACTTAAAATGTACGTTTGGCTAGGTTTACTTACCTCGATAAAGGGCCTGGTGGGTAATTCGAAATAGTCCGTGTGGCCTTCTGTAATGCTGTATTTCCCAGGTATCAAGAACCCCATAGCGGTCAGTGAGTCATCATATTCTAATACAAACCATGTGAAGATAGAATCTTCTCCACAGGGCAAACTCGTTGTCATATTATAATAATAGTGGTTTCCTGAGCAACACAAACAAATATCTTATAACAAGAGATCCTAGTGTCCAGATTTTGACTTTAATCACTAGTTTTTTTTTTATTTCATTGACCAATATAAATTAAACCGCCATTTTTCATGTAAACGTAGAACCTGTACTTGGTACCTATATTTCAAAGTTTATATTAAGTGCAAAAAGCTATAGCTATAAAAAGCTACAGGACTAGTATATAATAGGCTTTTTTTATTATATAAACCTACCATAGGTATATTTAATTAAAATATAATTAGATTTACTAAAACAGTACATCTAGTATTTATTATTATTATGTCTGTTTGGTAGCTATACATAGTAAAATAATTACTAAATTTACTGTTAAATGGGCAATGGGGCATGTATCGTCTAAAAACAGCTTATTGGCAAACAACGCGTGGGTAAGTAGCAACCCTAACCTACGTAGGGAAAAATCGAATGATAATTCACAGTTCACTGTGATTTTGTCCCATATCTAGTGTATCTATAAATACAGGAAATCTATAAATATAAAGTTAGTTTAGTTTACCGGTGAACGTTTTGCTTTTTTAAACTTAAAGAATTATGAAATTTCATCACCAAGCGATGTATATTTTAAATGATTCTAAAACTATCTGGTGTGGAAATATAATACTTACCCATTCCTGCCATGCAGCCTTGTGGTGTGTAAATGCCATCAGATTTTATCTTATCGATAGAAGTAGGAACTGGGTAAAGTTTGCCGTTGAAACCAGTTACATAAAGAGTATTGTCCTGAAGGATTGTGTTCCTATTCCGCTTGGCAATGCGAGTTTCTGCAGGCGTGTTCAGGAATGCTATTGTAGAATTAAGAGTATTTAAATATTATTTAAAATTAGAGCATTTATGCATTTTTTATAATCAGGACTTTAGGTCAATACTAAGGATTAAAATAAATTATTTAAGGATCCTCGTCAAAGATATCCAAATCCTATCTTCAGTAGGAGACTTTTTATATTTAAGATAATGATGATGAGTTCAGGCGTGTTCAGGAATGCTATTGTAGAATTAAGAGTATTTAAATATTATTTAAAATTAGAGCATTTATGCATTTTTTATAATCAGGACTTTAGGTCATTGACCTAAAGTCCTGATAATAAAAAATAGTATTGACTAAGGATTAAAATAAATTATTTAAGGATCCTCGTCAAAGATATCCATATCCTATCTTCAGTAGGAGACTTTTTATATTTAAGATAATGATGATGAGTTCAGTCGTGTTCAGGAATACTGTTGTAGAATTAAGAGTATTTAAATATTATTTAAAATTAGAATATTTAAGCATTTTATATAATTATAACGTCAGGTCGAGGCTAAGGATTCAAATAAATTATTTAAGGATCCTCGTCCAAGATATCCATATCCTATCTTCAGAAGGAGACTTTTTATAATTAAGATAATGATGATGAGTGCTATGAATTCTAATGAAATGCTGTCCAACACTTACCAGGACTCATGAAGTACTGAGTGACCGTATGAAAATCGATAGACACTCCATTTTCAATAGCAGTCCAAGTTTTGTAACCGCTGACGGTCCAGTTATAATTGGCGTTAGTGAATCTTGCCGGGTCAAACTGTAAATAATAATAACAATAATTTTTATTACTTTTGCCTAAAGATTGATGTAATAAATATAAATGAAAAAATAGTGTGTATTACAATGTTACACAAAAAACAAAAATTTTGATTTATTAACTTCTAGCGATCCGCCTCGGCTTCGCACGGGTGCAATATATATACTATTAATACTACTAATGTAGTGTCAGTGTGGAGTAAATAATTATACTAGTATAATGATAAGATTACACTACAGGACATCTTTATATACAATATTTATAGGCCCAATCCACCCCTGCCGGCCACTGCTACCTGGGACGGAAGAACGGCCCGACGCGGCGATGGCCGCTTTGGCCCCACATTCTGAAACTCTGACATCTGCTAAGATATTAACTTTAATGATATGCTGTAAATTTTAATCTACATGAAATACACAACATACAAACACCAACTTAGTAATTTGGATAAGGAATAATACTCTATTGTTCAAAATAAATTCATAAACGACCCAATATTTTTTGTAAAATGTCAAAGATAAAAATGGTTACTGTGGGTTATCCTTAGGAGATAGACATATAACATGACGGACTTTTTGTAGATGTTTTTAAGATATACAATTCTGTAATACATTATTTTTATTATCTCGTAAGGTTTAGCTAACGTTTGCAATGTAAGCGCACAAAAACATGTTTTTTTACGAATTCATATTACAAATCTTTGCAATTGTCGAATTTCCTCCCCGCCTCTTGAATAACTCTCTCTCTATTTGTGAAAACCGCATTAAAATTCGTAGCGTAGTTTGAAAGATCTAAGCGTAGCAGAACAAAAAGCGATTTCACTTTATACTATGTGAAGATATAGATATGATAAAATAGAAACAGGTGGTGAGTGAGGCTCGAACCATGATAGCATTTATACCATAGATTAAATATTTAGGGATGTTTAAGTTACTTTTAAATGTTTCAGAGCCATTGTACGAGTAGTAATCGTTTTTGTATAGGTATTGATATTAGTTCTGTAACAATACGCATTCATGTTTACAATAATGGTAAAATGTTTTTTTATACTTATTTGAAAAGTTGAAAAAGTTGGTATCCAGCTTAAAACGGAAATAATTTAGCGTTTTGGGCTGACTCGTAAATATTTTCTTAATCTGATCAAATTATTTCAAACTTTATATCTAGCTCAAAACGGCAATAGTTTAACTTTTTGGCCTCAGTCGTTAATATTTTCTTAATCTTAAATTATTTCAAGCGTTGCAGCTGAAAACTTCAGATCTACTTTTAAATAGCAAATTCTTTTCCGTCACAGCACTCACGCTTATTTGATATCCAGCGACGTATCCTGTGTCATCATAAAACATGCAAAGAGTGTAATCGTTCTCAGGACACATTAAGAACAGTTTCTCATAACCTTCAGGTGGAGCAAGTCCAGTCACATTCTTCCAACCAGCACCTTCAGCTTCTACTGCAGTCTCCGGCAATGGCAAGAATGACTCAACATCGTTGGGATCTATACCGAACCTTACTGCAAATTGATTTAATGTTGGTATTACACTACTATTCGTGTGGTGACGGATTAAGAATGTCACCACCCCTATTCACTCCGTGGGTGTCGTAAGAACTGACTAAGGGAGTAAACTACACGGAACAATAGCACTGCAAAGAGAAGGTAAACTTGAAACAAACCCTATACTAATCTCTCTGTCCAGCGTGGTATAGTAGGCCAGAATCTCCTTTCTAAGGAGAGGCCTATGTACAGCAGTGGACTGTTAAGGCTATTGATGACACTAATATACCTGGGGCCTCGGCCTGCCTCTGCGGGGGTATCCCCGCAGAGGCAGGCCGAGGTATGTTAAACAGCCACATTTTGTCAACTGTAACTTTGTCCTACTCACGTTACGGAAGATTAAACCTATACATATATTGCCTTAAACCAAACATTTAAAAATAAAAGTTGGAGTAAAATAATGTGTATGTGGGATAAATAAATGGGTACGTGTATAAATTTGTACGATGGAGATTCGAAGCCCAAAACACGCCTCCCAATGAATCTAGCAGAAGAACTAAAAAGGCGGCAACGTGCTTGTGACTCTTGGAGTTGCAGGTGTCCATGGGTGGTGATAGTTACTTACCATCAATGGACACCTCTGCTCGTCTACCCATAAAAATATGGAAAAGGTAGGTGAGATGATTGAAATCGGAATATGCTCACACGGATTAACTGAGCGGACGGGCGACCGAAGCACTCTAAGCGCACTCAGACAACAAATCTGTGGAACAAGTTATCGTCTGCGGTATTTCCGGACCGATACGACCTACAAGAATTCAAACCTTTAAGAAAAGAGCGTACTCCTTCCTAAAAGGCAGGCAACGCGTTCGTAACTCCTTAGTTACAGGCGTTAATGGGAAGCGGTAGTCACTTTCCATCAGGTCTGCTCGTCTGCCCGCTTTTCAAGAAAATAAGATAAAATCATTGTTGGAAACTTATTGCGTGTTATCATGACCTTTAAAATTGGATGTATTGAACTGTTGAGAACCCGACTGGAAACATGTAAAGGAATATTATTTCTTACCTTTTAAACCTTTTTCCCAAAGTCCTGGAAGCAATAAAATACATCATTAAAACATTTATCTTAAATTCACATAAAATGATGTTTAATGTCTATCTCGCTCGTAATGTATTTTTTTATGTAGCTTACGTTTACGATAATTACGAGTAATGTATCGTTATCAATGCACTGACAGCGCCTTTACGGAAAAATCTTGTTCGTACTTGTTCGATCTAATCAGTGTATGAGAAAATACAATATCACTGGAATTATCCACACAAGCGAAAGTACAGATAAACGTTTTAATATATACACGTATACGTTAACAATACGTTTTACAAATAATATTTGTAAGTAAAATTGGAGTGTTAATAATAATATAGGTTTTTTCTGAATCTGAATTGTTACATTAAATACCAGAAATATAAATACCCAGTGCTGGTGTGGCCGTGAGCCAAAGTATTGTGAATATACGGAACATGTCTGCTGTCGGAGGCTACAATCGAAGGCATACTTACACTAAGGCTTTATATACTGGAGTATATTTACACACATGTTCTGTCTTCTTAATATTTAAAACTATTTATTAAGTAGGTATAAATATTATGTAAATTTTTAAAATAAAATATATCATGTCATGTATTTATTATCATATTATACATACTTAAGTACATAATTTTAATACATGTTTTTGTAAGGACACACATGTTAAGTTTTAAATTTAAATATATTCTTTGTATTTGCTACTTGCAAATATATTTTATACAATTTAAACATAATTGATATCTCTTTGGATGAGCCAATGCTGCGAGTAAATAGTATCCAGCTTATACTGGATTGGCACTCTTTTGATCTGTTTCTTTTTTAGTTCATTAGCAGGTAGCATATTAGAGCAACGGCGAAAGGCAAGAAGATACCGTCTTCTCTGGTTTCGATCAGAAAACTAGTCATAATCTGACACAGTTCCGTTAGGCAAAGCCAGAGTCCTAAGCGTGAACGGCCAAAAGTAACACTTGTATAGTGCTTTAAAAGATAAAAAACCTATAAAAACAATCTGAAGTTCTAACCAGAACGAGCAATTTTACACTTTATAGAAGACCAGGCTCTGCTCTGCACTAGAACAAAGCCTGGTTCTTCTTTTGAGATGGTACAATTGAACAGAGTCGACGAAAATGGTGGCGGAATCCGCTTAAATCTGGTGGATACCTATGTAGTTCCAGCCTGCAACGCTTGCAACCGAACTATTACTTTTAGTAAAACATCTTTAATTGGCGACACTACATGGTATCAACAAGTTCGATTTCGACAAAGTCACTTTTGACATGACCTTGTAAATATATGTAGAGCCTAGAGGTTTTGATACAATATCAATTTAAAAAAACAAGTCAGCGTTACAGTAGTGGCATCATCATCATCGCTTTGATAATATCGGCCAACTATAGCACCGCTCATTGGTCAAATCAAATAGCGTTTCCTTGACTTCCTACACACACTTACACACTTCACGCACTGACTGCACGGATGGCGTAGTGGTTTAAGCGGTCCTACTACACTGAGTGCTGTGGGTTCCATCTTCTCGTGGAACGACACTTTGCGACATAGACCTCTGCCTAAAACGGAGGTCTTGGCCCACTGTACCACGCTGGCAAGACGGGTTGTCATAGGGTTTGTCTCAAGTTTTTTTCTCATTGCTTTGCTGTTTTCCTTCGTAGTTTGTTCCATTAGTCGGCTCTCGCGACACCCACGGGATAAATAGGGGTGGGACACACCGAATTCTTAATCCGTCACTACACGGATTTTTCATGTCCGAGTCTTTTGTCTCCGATAAATGTAATATTTATCGAATGGAGAACATTAACATATGTTCGAAACATTTATTTATGATAATAATATGACATTGAACTATTTATGTCTTAGTGTAATTTCATAACGCCGAATTCATATTCACAGCACTTTTTAGATTAAAATTCAATAATTTTTAGTTTGGCCTTAGTACTAGGCATGCCTTTTAAGTTCTGTCGTTTCCATATTTCCCGGCAATTATGAATTTGGAACTGTTCTATATTGGAATGTATTTAAATTTTTAATCTCAAAACAGTTGAAAGTATTAGGATTAATGCTATTGTTTAGTCACAGCGTCGATTGGTATCCGTCAGGTTACGTACGAAAATGAAGCAATAATTTTCTACAACTTTAGAAGAGGCCTGTCACGGCTTCAGTGTTTTGAAGAGCTAACACCTGTGTTGTGATGAAGCCCCATTTCTGCGGACTGTCGAACGCTGGTATTTAGAATTCCAGCGTGGACATGCTAGTGTTAGTGACAAATCTCGCGAAGGACGCCCAAAACCCGCTTTCACTGAAGATAACATCATTGCTGTGAGACAACTAATTCGCGAAGATCGTCATGTGACGTATCGAGAGATAGAGGCTCTATTAGGCATCTCAGGGACAACTATTCAGAAGATCTTCCATGAAGCGCTTGGTGTGAGAAAGCTATAACCCGGCAATCTCGTGCGCGACCGTCCCGCGGGGTGACAGACTATGATGACCTGGCGGAGTTGGGATTTCCGGTCATCGATTTCTCGAATCTCGGGACACCAACCCAACTCCCGCGCCTCCTTGCGCCACTTATACAGAGCCGCAAGGGCTCTCGCCTCCAGGTCCCACGGTGGAGTTCCGGCCAGGAGACTCGCCGCCTCAAAGGAGATCGTGCGGTATCCCCTTATGATCCTGATGGCCAGCACTCGCTGCGGTCGTCGCAGTATCGCGACGTTGCTGGCCTTCACGGCCCCCGCCCATACTGGGCACCCGTAAAGGGCCATCGACCGCACAACCCCCGAGTAGAGTCTCCTGCAGGAGTCATCGGGTCCCTTCATGTTGGGCAGCAGCCGCGCCAACGCACGCGCTGCCCCAACCGACTTGGGGACCAGACCTCGGAAATGATATCCGAAGTCCCATCGGCCATCGAGTACGAGCCCCAGATACCTGATCGAGGGCTCGATGCCGATGCGAGTGAATCCTACCGTGAGGCTAGATCCCTCAGGCAGCTTCTTCCGAAGCCCGTGGAAGAACAGGGCCTCGGACTTGTGCAGAGCCACATCGAGACCCAGCCGCCGGATACGCTCAACGACTTGGGCAACCCCGGCCGTGGCCCTCAGGGTTGCCTCGTGGTGCGTCTTGCCGCGCGCCGTCACGAGCCCCGCCCCACTCGCGCTGTGCGGTGTCAGCCGGGGCCGAGACTGGGGCTTGGAGGGGGGGGGCCACCTTCCCCCTCCCTTTGCCCTTTCCAGTCTTCTCGGGGGCAGCCACCCTAGTTGCTGGCTGTGCTGTTAGGCCCACCTTGGCAGCGGCCGCATATGTCGCCCTTGGTGGAGCCAGAGGTGGGCGATAACGGGCGCTCTCTATTGCAGAGATGCGCCTCATTATTCGCTCCTCCATCTCCGCCAAGAGTCGGACTAAGTCCGGCTCCTTACGGGCGGACAACGCCAACGAGATCCGCCTCGAGGCGGGCTCTCTCCCTAACGTAGGCTTTGCTCTCGGCCACGAGGAGTCGTCCCGCCTCGATGATGGAGCGCACGACCGCTACCAGGGCCTCCTGTTCGGGACCCCTGGCTACCCCGGACGTCTGGAGCAGGCAATCGGCGTGGCCGATCTCTCAATAATCGATCTGGTCCACGGGGTTGCCGGTTTTACCTCGCAGCTCACCCTCCCTCTCGCTCCTCACCTCGGTCACATCTGTCGACCTCTCGGACGCGACCCTCTTCACGGAAGCGTAGGAGCGTAGGGGCTCCTTCTCTTTCTTCTGGGCAACCCTGGTTTTAGGGAGTCGGCCTCCGCCGCGAGCGCCTCTGCGGCTTGTGCCGACTTTGGGAGCCGTGGCTTCATCGCTCTACGCCGACTCCAGTTGCCTCTTCAGGCCAAGGCGAAGCGAGGGCCTTTTGCGCTTTGAGACCATCGGGGTACTCGCTTCGCTCATCTCCGAGGCAGTGTCGGCGTGTTCGACACTACCTCCAGGGTTTTTGCGTCCTCCGCGTCATGTCGGTCGCCGGATTTACTGCTCGGCGACGGACAGCTTTGACAATGGTTGCTCCCCCCAGAGTACGTTTGGGAGCTGCCGGAGCCGTCTGGCTCCGGGAGGGATTCTCCAGACGCAGTGCGTCTGGTACCCTCCTGGGTAGATTTATTCATCTTTGGGCCCATGTCATAATGTTAAGTTTAACGTCCTTCGATGGGGACGCCTTCGGCACTGGACTCCCTCCAGCGGCTCAGCCCCTTGCCAAGCGTCAGAACGTGGGCTTAGAGCATTTTTATAGAGGTTTACGTCCTCGCGGATCCGAAGATCCACCGGTCCTGTCCATTCAGGATTACGGCTAGGCCGGACGGGGTCTGCACGAGACCGAGTCCGTCCGCCCCAGGATTTTTTATAGAGGTTGCCTTACTCGTAGCCCTCGAAGAGCCGTCATTCCTGACTGTTGCCAGTCAGGGTTCCGACATGGCCAGACGGTGGTCTGCGTCAGACCAGTGTCCCCCACCTCTGGACAGAGCCGGCGGCAGTGGACCCGTCCGCGCTTCGCAACATGCTCGTAGCCGCCCCGGCCTGCTTCTGCTAGGGTGACAGATGGCCTCACCTGTCACCCCCAGGCCTGCGCTTATGGAGGATGGAGGTCGTTTTGCGACCTCCGGCGCCTGAGTCGACTGCGGTACCTGACCTGTTCCGGGCCTGGCGGGCCGGGAGAGTCCTAAACCTCTCCCGGTGCCGCTCCGCCGTCTCCTTCGCGAGCATAACTTGCTCGCTGAAGGAGACGGCAGAGTTCCACGCACTCTCGCTCCGCACGGTAGCCGCAATCAGGCTATCGAGCGAGAGAACTCCCACTCCGATGGCCGCCACGAGGTCTCGCCTCTGCTCAACATACGCCGGGCACTCTGCCAGGGTGTGGAGAGCCGTGTCCACGGTCTGGCCATCGCAGTGGTCGAAACTATGTCCACCTATGTTTCTCTACGGTAGGTACAGCTTGTTAATTGACTGCACGGATGGAGTGGTGGTTTAAGCGGTCGCCACGCCGCTTACTACTACGCTGAGTGTTGTGGGTCCGATCCCCACATGGGACGACATTTAGTGTGATCCACAAGTTGTTGTTCTGGGTGTTCTTTGTGTCCGTTTCATGTGTGTTTGTAAAGTCCCCCGCGACACAGGATATGTTCCTAATGCGGAAGTTGACTTTTTAATTTAAAAAAATAGTTATACGGGACGATCCAGAGGAGAGACGTCTGAGACAATGACAAAAGATTGTAGTATTGACGTTGTAGATTAGAACTCGGTATCTTGTTGTTCCTAATAGTAATATTTGTAGTAGTTTCTTAGCTCAAAACGGCCCGAAATAAACTTTTGTGCCCAAGCACAAAATAAATTTATTTTTAACTAATTTTACCCAGCCACACTTCGCTGACAGTGTGGTGGTGCAAAAAATATATAAAAACCATCTTTGAAGCGTGTTCTGTATCGTGGAAAAATTTGAGTTCAATCGTTGTATAACTTTTTGAGTTTTTGAAGCGTACACAAACCAACTTAACATTTTATGTAAAGTAATTAATGTTATTTCTTATCTCAATGTTCCCTAATACACGATATCAAAGACAGGTAATCTCTTATTTATTAAAAGCAAGTCTACGGTATGGTAGCATTTATTATAGAAATTCTAAAAGATGTCATGGGTGTAACGGCTATTGACGTCGTACACACAGTGTTGTTGTCTAATTCTGCCGCCTTCTGCTCGAATTATCCTTCTTTATCTTCTAGCAATGGTTGGTTAAGTTGTAAAGCATTGATAGAAGTTTTCTTCATATTAAGTAAGCTCACAAATTTGTCACAAAGCGCCTTTTCCATATCAATTTTAAGATGTAGAAATTCTTCAGTATCTTTGAGACACTTCTGGTAATCGGATTTGATAGTTTCGAATTTATATTTCAAACTATTTACTTTACCTTTCAAATGGCTGTTCAATGCAACTAACACTTCTATTAAATTCGGTTGCGATTTCTTCGGCTGTTCAACTAATTCCATGGGTAGAAATCCTTCCATGACAAAGGAATCTTTGAGTCTTCGTTTCCAGTAGAAGAATCCGCTTTTTAATTCATAACAGTAGTCTTGGCTGGCCTGAGATAGACACGTTTTGACTAACTCATAGTATTTGCTTTCAGGCAACTGTAAGTTCCTACTGAATCCTGCTAGTCTATTAGGCGAAAATCGACCCTTCCAAAGTTTATCCTTATTGAAAAGGTACAGTTCAAACGAATCGACTTGCCAACCGATTAGTAGGTAACAACCTTCGCCTTCGAACTGAACGTCTAATTTTGTTACCGTGATGGCTTCATCTAAATCCATAATATAATCTTATTATTTATGATATTTTATGGCATTTTGAGCAACGCACACCTTTATTTCAGTTTGTTATTTGTGTTGATTTTATATTATGAATTAGTAACTGTCATCTTTATTATTTTGACTATGACACTCAATAAACAAAAACAATTATAGGTAATATGAGTAAACATGATAAAAAGGTTTCTATCTTCTGTTTTGTGTGAAAAGATTAACAATATTTTAGTATATTTTTACTTGACACGTCTCACACACGGCCTGATTTCAATCTACTGGCTAGTTCGTCTGTACTATGGCAATCAAACAGCTGCCAATAAGAAGAAACATAGGATAAAGATATTGCTAAATACTTATCTACTAGTACTTACCACTAACTAATGATCATGCTCATCACACATAATTTTTGTCTTTGGTGGGAATCGAACTGACGACCTCTGGCTCAGCAGGCAGGATCCCTAACTAAAAGACCAAAAGAAAAAGTGCAACTTTTGTTTGATAGTCTCCAAAAGTCTGTGAAATGGAGGATAGAGATTTGCAGCGACAAGAAACACAGATAGTCTTATATTTTAGGTATAATTAAAAGCGTCTATCAGGTGTAAATTACTCTAACTTTATTTTTAACGGTCATATACATATTGCCTGTTATAAGTCAGCACATTTCATAATTTTATAGAAATATGTTGAGTTCTCCCAAAAAAATCTCGCACACAGCTGCGCTACTTCGCATAGCTCTAATAGAAACATACCTTTACTGTTACAATATTAAAACATAAAAGTCAAATGTTAAAATTAATTAATAAAAAAAGAATAATCCCTGCCCCTAGACTTTGTTTATTCTTCTTGGTGACTCCACTTGTTTGTATTGTGTACATGTATGTAGTAGTGTACGTACTTATTGCGCCGGATGTCGAGACAATCAAACTGTTACTATAAAATTATTGAACAGAAGATCAAGTGTGTGAATATTTTTCTTATCTCCACTCTCTCGTTCATGTACCTGACTTCAAACGGTTATCAAATTTCTGAATCGTTAAAACTTTTTTTTTTGTAAATTCGTAACTGTCACTGAATATGACAGTCAGGCAAACTTACAGTGTAAAAAAATAAACTTAGTTATAAATTAGTTTCTTGTGGTGCCAAGTTTATATTTGCTAAAATTGACATTGACTGGTTGAATGATTTTAACTAGTCCACTCAATATGCAGTATATACATACTGTATTAAGAACAGTTATGGCTTTAGTCTTCAAAATTAACGTTACTACTAAACCTCTCCCGCTCCCGCTCCGCCATCTCCTTCGCAAGCATAACTTACTTGCAGAAGTGGACGGTGGAATTCCACGGGCTCTCACTCATAGCCACAATCATGGTACCGAGCGAAATATTTCCAACTCCGATAGCCACCACGAAGCGTTACTTCTGCTCCACCCACGCCGGGTATTCTGCCAGCGTGTGGTGCGCCATGTCGACGGTCCGGTTATCGCAGTCCTCTCCTCCTTGCGGCCCAGACACAGGCGATGTCCGAAGGGTCCCGTGTTGCCTCTCGAGCTAATCCTCCATAGTAGTTCTTATCGTATTCACATCTTATTAGTTGCCTCCTACAACAGGCTTGCTCCTATTAAGTGAATAGCAATGTAATTATAGTCAGCAAAATGCGGGCGTTTAAGTACGCTATTGGCTATTCCCTCGGCGATAAAAGACACGATCCCATGAGTTATGCACATCATATGTATAAATAGTTGCCAACACGAACAAAGTTTGCATTCTGTTTCAAAATTTCTACGTTCCTAATCTCTTATAACACATCCTATTGAAGCCCACGGTACATTAGTTACAATGCAAACTCGTCCGCGTACAGACGAAATATGAACAGTCGTTTATAAAAGTTTTTTTAAAGTTACAAAATGGAGAAAACTGTTATTTTATTAACCGTCGCTTCGTTAGTTACCGGTGAGGAATTTTTTACATAAATTTACGCTTTTCAATAATATATATTTTAACCGAATTCAAAAAAGACAGATTCCTAATTGGACTAACTTTTTAAAGATAGTTATTAGACTTTTTCTAACGTGGATGATGTCGATGCCATGTCTTTTATTTTGATACAAATTGCTGCAATACTGCTTTTTCATTATGTTCCAAATTAAAAAAACTGTCTGTGGTTAATAAAAGTAAAAACTACACCGAAGAAGTGTAAACATACAAGTACAGTATGTATACGAGTACATACAGATTCAATTTCTTCAAATAATTTATCCTACTTAAGATATAAAAGTAACAGGTATCATAAAAAAATTTATACTTTAAGGATTGCCAGTCTGCCAGTTAAGCAAATAAAGAACTCGCAGTTTTTCTTGCACAAGTGTTATTTGTTTTGAATTCAATTTATAATATTTTAGACTATTTATTCTGTTTATATTTGATTGGCGCTAAGATATCTTTTCTATGTATCGTTACATGCTGAGGTGACACCTCTCTCCTTTTTAGTAATCCATATTTATTAACTAGCTGACCCGCGCAACTTCGTATGCGTCTCTCAATAGTAATAAATGTTCTCCGTTTTTGAAACATTCTTCATTGGTGCTCCGCTCCTATTGGTTTTAGCGTGATGATATATAGCCTATAGCCTTCATCGATAAATGGGCTATCTAACACTGAAAGAATTTTTCAAATCGGACCAGTAGTTCCTGAGATTAACGCGTTCAAACAAACAAACAAACTCTTCAGCTTTATAATATTAGTATAGATGTGAAAGTGAGTTTGTTTGTTTGCTACGCTTTTACGTCTAAATCACTAAACCGATTTTAAAAACTCTTTCACCAATGGAAAGCTACATTATCAGCAAGTAACATAGGAAACTTTTTACCGCGATAACCGAAATAAACGCAGGCGGAGCCGCTGGCAAAAGCTAGTATATTCTAATGATGAACCCAAACCGACTTGAAAAACGAACGATCAGTTATTTAAAAAAAAAATTTTTCTTAGACATCATCATCATTTCTTAGTCATGTTGTCCAACGAGTATCCTCTTACTGACTCAGAGTCAGTAAGAGGATACTCGTTTGACAACATGACCGCAAGAGTAACTTGAGCTTGCATAACAAGACTACAAAAGTAATACTTAGTTTTGTCTGAACTATCATGTATGAATCAAATAAAATCTCTATATTATATTATTATAAACCCTATTTCAATCTTATGTCTTTACCATAAACTCCCATACCATGATAAAGTATGTACACTGTGGGATAACCTGCTTTGGCAGGAAGACAGACCGGCTCAACCGGAGTGATACTGCGGCCTCCCAGAAAATCGGTCTGAAGCAGTTCCTTAGTTACTTTCATCCCATAATTCTTCTAATTCTCCCTCAAATGTAGCAACGCACTTATGCTTCTTAGGTTGCAAGTGTCGTTACTAAAAGCCTAACTAAAATGTCGGACTCGAACCGACTAAAGACAAGACAAGAAAGGGCGAGAGACAAGTACCTAGTTCTTACCCGTTGGCCCCCGTTTGCAATTTCAGATAATTAAAGTACCACAATTCTATTTGCTTTCTATTCTCTGGTCATCTCAAACACAATAATAATCACAAAAAGTGTTTTTATTTGTTGGTAATTTAGCAGTTAATTAAATCACCATGTCCTGTTTACCCTGGCATTTGGCGTTCTTCTATAATAAGTGATTTATGTACGAATAGAACAGTAATGGCTAGTTGATGTTATAGTAGCTTCTCTATTCACTGAAATCAATGGAATTTTGGAATACAGGTGCCCACTTTCGGTCACCTTCCTCGCCCTATCATTTTTCCTTATTCTAATTTAAGAGGTTGGTACTGGTCAATTTAGAAATGGGACATTTTACATAGGTGTAAGTATTTCAACTGCTACATTTGTTCCAAGCATAATGTTATAGAAAAAACAAATTTTGTACATAACCTAACAAATAACATTGTCTAAGTTGTTCAAATGTAGTTTTACGTATTTCGTAATATTTATCAAAGGTAAACTAAAATAGTTGTGTACTTAACTTGTTACGAAGACTGTTTAGTTGTTAGTTGTGTAGTAAATCATTTCTTGCTTCCGCACAGTCGGGTAAAAATGGTTCCACTCTTAAATTCTGTCAAGTCATACTACGTGCTATTCTAACTAATAAAGTGGAGTTGATCCGATGTTAAAAACTATTATGTTAGCTAAAGTAGGTACTTTTATTCTATACTTATATCCATTTTTTGTTTTAGGTATTCAATATGATGGTCTCAGAGGTACGTCAGAAAGCATTTTTATTTTTTTACCTGTTGGTTATGGAATACTCCTTGGCAAAAGAAAGCTCTATTATTTTTATTAAAATCAATATTGTATCAATCAATACGACTGCCTAAGGGACACATTCGTTATCAGTTGTACAAATCGCGGCCATAATCTACTTCTATGACCTAAATTCCAAGAGTTTTTTATCAAAAAATGTGCTTAAAAACTAAACACAAATTTCTTTAAACATTTCAGTAAAGTTCGGATGGTCGGACGCCCTAGCTGATATAGAATACTTCTTCGCGATCCCTCGCACTATCAGCGAAGTGGAGACAGAGGGATGGCAGCGGATGGAACGACCACCGGGGCCTTTACCAGAGCTCAGGATGTACTGCCCTCCTGGTCGAGGAGTGTGTCCGTTATATGATACAGCTGGATTTGTAGCAGGACTTATGATTGCTGTAAGTTTAAAAATATTGATAAAATATTATTTTACTAAGAAAAATGTTTCTGGCGTTGTGTTTTCTAAAAATAGTAGAAAATATTAGGTTGTGAAATACAGTACTGAATGCTTTTATTTGTTAACAAATAGCACTAATTAAATATTAAAAGACGATATTGGTAGAAGTCTTTTTTTTTCTAAAAAAAACTTATAATATTAAAATGCAGAAAGAGACAAAATCTCTGAATTATTATACGTACATAGTTAAACTCACATTGCAGGAATCGGTTTCCTATACCTATAAATCAGTCAAAATACAAGTCTGTACAAGGAATGTTCACTTGAGTTTTTTAACCATATCTTCGTTTCTTTTCTACCTGAACCACTACCAACCCACCAACATCAGAATACAACTTAGAACGCGTGTTAACCGTAGTCTTTGATAAGAAAAAAACATTGCAAAATTCAAGCGAGTGCATTCGAATATACAAACTTAAAAAAAAATGTAAATGTGTTCAAAATATGGCGGACCTCAAACTCGCCGTATGGACATTTGCGGCGATTATCTAATTTATTTGAATGAACAAGATCAATCACAACCGTCCCCCAGCCCACGCTCATTGTTATTGTAATGCACATTGTAAGCGCTGAGGGACGCTGCCATTCTGTGATATGCCTGATAGGATATGAAAGGAGATAATAATTGGGCACTTGATGATATACATCAAAAGAAAAATATTCTAGTCTGGCATGTAAGATTTTGTACGTAAGATTACATTTCGACCCCCCTCCCCCTCCCTCCCATGTCCTAGCGAAGCGTCCGTATTTGGACATCTGAAAACAATAAAATATGCTGTTTTTTTGAACAAAGTTCCTTAATAACAAAATTACACGCTCTGAGCGGATGGGAGCAAGACCGAAAAATGTGTAACAAAACTTTTTTTTGTTTAACAACACTTCTTGCGGAATTTCGTTCCGACCGAGGATCTAAAGATCCCTCACGCCGTTTTGTTTATAATTACTATCAGAGGTAAGTACCTCTAGGAAGTAGGACTAAGTATTCCACTTAGACGAATTCGCGAACATCAGTTTATATTGTAGCTATAGTGTTTGTAGAAGTTACTTTCTTTGCCCTTAAACGGTAAATCTAGGTTCAGTCTAAGCTAGATAACGTTGGCGTGACGATTGCACATAATGCATGTAAGTTATTTACATAAAAACATCTAATCAACCATAGGGCAATCAAACTTGATTGTTTAAACGTTGCAGGATTTCCCTCATTTCTAATCCACCTTGAGAGATTACATTGTAACTGCCACTGACATCGAATACAGGCCGTTCTCAATTCTAGGTAAGAAACGGAATTGAGAACCGTTATTTTCTTACCTAAGAACTCCAACTATGTACCTAACTGTGATACATAAATGCGGTCGTGAGCCTACTAAAGGGACTAATCTCCCACATTATTAGATTTAGTCTTTTATGGGAATTTGTCTTTCATTGGAATGCAATATTTGCAACATTTGGATTAGCAAAAATCGTCTCTAACTAATCTCTATCTAATTTTTTTACTTAAGATCCCAGTGGACGAGTTCGACTCCCCACCAGTAAAGCCGGAGAAGAAATTTGTGAAATGGCAAGCCGCTGCAAGTGCAGGAGAACCACCCCGGGAGTACTGGACTGCCACACAATATTTCGTGTCAGAAGGTGAGCTCATAACACCACAAATCCTATTACAGCTTCTGTACTAGACTACATTTTTGGTGTTTGGAATTGATAGAGTCGGTAAACTTGTTGGAAAATTATTTTAGTTTAATTAGTTTCTTTTTACAAAACTCAGTATAACATTTATTATACAAACTAAACACAAAATTTTTGCTCTCCTTAAAAAAAAACAGTTTGTTTTGGGGATTTTTCGGATCTAGATTATTTACTACCGCAATAATAGATGAAGAACGAAACTTTTGAAAGTTTTAACATTATTAATCTATACTTTATATAAGATTATTCCATTAAGTGTTTGGTAAAAGTAGTGGATCAAATAAACAATTCAGTACAAAACACAATTAATATAATTGACTACAATAACTCAATAGTGCGTGGCCACACACCAAGATAAAGTTTATGACCACTGGCGAGATAAGCCGTCCGAGCCATATTAAATTCTTTATGTGCACTTATAATCCCATACTTACGCAGTTACCCAACCAAAATTGGTGCTAATTCTGTCTGTAAGGCTACTAACGTAGATTTCTACATTATCACTATTAACAATTTCGTTACATATCATTAACTACAAGTATTCAACCTTCTACTTATTCTGAAGATTATTTATAATTAAATTATGTCTACAATGCTGCCAATTCTGTTGTTCGAAAAATCCCTAAGCTAAACTAAAAATCACTAAAAATTAGTTTAGTCCTGTCAAGTACTAAGTTTTCAGAATAGGAAACGTTGTTTTGTAGGAACTGTAGACATTATTTAATAATAAATAATCTTCAGAATAAGTAGAAGTTTGAATGCTTGTAGTTAATGATATGTAACGAAATTGTTAATAGTAATAAGGTAGAAATCTACGTTGGTAGTGTAGTTAGTTAGTAGTCAGGAAGAACATATTATTGACTGGAACATTATAAATATGTTTAAATAGACTATGTATTCTCCTTAGAGTCCCTAAAGGCAGGTGCTGGACCCCAGGTAGAGAACGGTGCTACGTTGCAAGACGGTGGAGTCTGGGTATCAGACCTTGACGGTAGACTGATGAGAATCCCGAGCACAGAGGCAGAGTTAAACAGCACTGCGTTCAAAAAGCAGAATTGTATACCTAACATGGGTAAGAATTTTATGATAATAGATTTAGAATTTTGAACAAAAAGTCCTGCCTCTCCATCTAAAAACTAACATTTTTTAAGCAGGTTTTTGAAATGTTCTAAAAAATATTCTTGAAATGAAACTCGCATACTCACCAATGGTTTTCAACTACCTAATACGCTTACCGAAGATGATACCGATGATGACTGCTAACTAGTGTTAAGTAGTTCATTCATTGCTTTTTAACCGATTTCAAAAAGGAGGAGGTTATCAATTCTGATGTTTTTTTTAATGTATGTTCGGGCATAACGCCGTCATATACAGACGGATTTCCAAAATTCTTTTTTTTATCAAAAGTTGTTTATTCCGTAATGGCCCCATATAAATTGAAAAATTACGACGGCATACAACTGAACTTCTCAAAAAATGACAGCAAATCAACCGCGATTACTGCAAGGTTTTTAGTGCTCTTTGTTAGTATTGTTTAGTCAGTATTTTTTTACGGCATTTTCTTGCTAACAAGGGAGTGAGGTTACCGAAGGACTAATGCACTCTCCTTAGGGGGTGCAGCAAAAAGGCAGTAACGCACTTGTACCACTTGAGTTGCAGATGGCCACAGGTAGTCCACACCGGCCACAGGTAGTCGCTTACCATCAGGTGACCCGACTGCTCGTTAATCCTTATAATCTAAAGAAATAGAAAGTCTGAATTCCATGTTTGTATAATTTCCAGGTATTCACTATTACTACAACATGACTCGAAATCTCAAGTGTGAGGATCTCTTGCCATGGTTTGCGCTGACCACTCAAGGGGACCTCGTTGGTACTGGGTTCCAGGTGATTGGCAAGCTGCCACGACAAAAGCACAGAGAGTGGTTTGAAAGAATTCCTTCGCCTAAACAAGGTGTACAGGTACCTATCCTAACTTTACAATACATACTTACATCAGGGTTAGAGTAATAAACTAAAAAACACGCTTTTGTAACTAGCCGAACTAAAGAGTAGAAAATTATTTCCTAAAAGTTCACAAGGAAAAATAATTTTATCGTAAACATGCGTGGGGAAAATATTTTATTGACAGATACTATTTTTAAAAAAACATTTTATAAAATATCATAAAAAGCACGATAAAATGCTTTTTACGATAAAATGTTTTCCTTTCTGTTCATTAATGGCGATAATTTTCTTATTAAGACCAAAAAAGTAAGAAATAAGTAAGTAACATTATGTTTTAGCACACGCCTCTTAGTACATGGCAAAAAATACTACTGTGGGCACTGTGTGGCTTTCTTCAAATTTTTAATTTTTCATCGGTCCTTGATAAGTATGCGAAGTTTTAATATAATTGAACGTTTTGAAGTGGGTCAAAATCACGTTCGAAGATTCCGTTACACCCATACATACCTACATAGATACATACATACATACATTACTTTACTTACCATCAGGTGATCCGTCTGCTGGTTTGCCCCCTTATACCGTAAAAAAAGACTAGGCTCCTTTTACAACGCCTCTCCTACTCTCTTCTATCCCACTCTAAGATACGAACTAATTTTCAGCAGAATGTAACACCATGAACTAAAAGTGGCAAATTCCAGGTCACCATTCCTTATGCACCGTCGTGCTTGACAGACTGGGCTGAGAAGTACGGTGTGTTGTCTATGCACATCTACTTCACGAACGATCCTTGGAACATCAAGTGCATGTAAGCATGTGAACAGTCATTTATAAAAAGTTATTTTTGCTGTCCACTAAGACCGGTTGAAAGAGTCCTGTAGACCTAGTATCTGACAACTAGAACTTCTGTCTACCCGCGGATTTATAGCAAATGTATACATATTATAGATGGGACAAAATCACAGTAAACTGTGATTTATCATTCGATATTTGCGTACGGAGGTTAGGGCTGCTAGGTAGGTAGGTAGGTAGACCCTATTTAATATTAAATCTAGTATTTTTTAAATTATAATGTAGGGAATGTTATCTATATATAAATTAATAATTTCTAGACTTACTGTTAAATTCGGCGAAATAGGCTTTTTGGCAACCACGCGTGAGTAAGTAGTAGTAACGTACGGAAAGATCGAATGATAAATCACCGGTCATTCACAACTCACTGTTATTTTATCCCATGTCTAATAAATAAAATAAATAACACGACGACTATATGGCACTCATTTAATATTAAAGAATGTAGCACATCAGATAGAACGGCATATCAAAATTATGTATTATTATCTATGTATATTGCGAAATACCTAACTGTAATTTAAAAAAATAAAAACAAACATAATAATCACATAGTTTTCATAAAAAGAGGATTGAAGTCAAATAGTAGATTGTTTAAAAACACATTGAAATCAGTTCTATGTTTGTTAGTGGGTGAAGACAGAGCCCGTGTATTTTACCCACGCTCTTGTTTCCGTGTGGATACCCACACAAAGTAACTACGTCGCTGTATTCTGGACAATGACGGAATAGATAGCTACATTTACAAAGATGCGATCCTCCCTTTCTCCATCTATTGCCATAAACAATATTCTTTTTTTCTATCAAATCTAAGTACTTTTTCTTTCAAAATAGGCCAACTTCAGGTGACTTTTAATTTAAAACTTTTTATACATAATATTCTGCAAAATATACATCAAGATGTTTCTTTTTTAAATGAAAATACTGAAAAAATTCCAGAACCGGTGACTCTATTCAGCCAGCGCCACCATTGGACCGAATCATTTTGAATGGGTACAAATATATGAACAAAATTACCGACGAAGTATACAAGATATTTAATGGTTAATTTATAGTTTTAACAAGAAATGTATTTATATTTACTTATTAAATCATAATTTGACATTAAATTACATTAAAAATGTTTTTTTTTTTTACTCCTACATTTTACATAAACCGGAACGAGGGCTAAGCCCTCTCCCTCTCTCGGGGTTCTCAGGAACTGACAGTTCACATGTGGCAGAACAATATGGTTCTAGTCGGTTCAATTCTGATATACCACTTCACCCTGATGACCGGACGAGGTTTCCACACGAAAAAAAAAAACAGAATCGAGCTCAGGTAAACAGTACGATACGGACAGAGTTCAAATGCCTAATTATGTATCTACTTATTTTAATAAAGTATATAATTAAACTCGTTAAAGAGCACAACAACACGTACATGCCTTACATCTAAGTACCCTAATCAGTCTGATAGACTGACAGTTTTCAATAATTTGTTCGAGAGCATTTTTTAAACTTCTTCGATTCAAAGCATTATAGCAGTTTTTTGAAAATTATTTATTATTAATAAAAAAAACTTTACACATCTCACAAACCCGGCAGAACCCTAACTTCACAGCTTTAAGAAAGCGACTAGCAGCAGATATAGCCGACAGCCCAAGACTGGTATAGTTTTCACTCCTTGGGAGGGCTTCATTCAGCGGTGGACTGCAATGAAAGTATAAAGATGCAAACGAACTACACCCCTACCGTCAAATTAGTACTATAGTGCAATGCTTTAAATTTTCTTTAGTCTTGATAGATAAAAAGACTATTCAGTGAAAGTTACAGTAAACTAGGTTTATGTTTAAAATAGTTCAAAGTGTGGATTTTTATTCTTTATTTCTGACCATAGACAATCAGACTCATAGTCGTAAGCATTTCAACCATAGAGATATAAGCATAGCGAGAATACGATGTACAGCTGTCCGTCAGTGGAAGTGATACAGGCAACGAGAGAGATGGATAACCGATATTTCCCTCTGTCTCTGGTTAGCTCTCTGCTTAGCTAAGCTGCGATTGGCTACTTATTAACCCCTCATATTCCCCAACCAACCACAGAGCTCGACTAGAAAGAAATGATTTTATGGAAAACAAGAGTTCTAAGAAGTCAATAATTTTACAATTGTTTTTATAATCATACCAAAGTACCAGGTAGGCTGAGACATTTTTTTAACTTATTACTTTGAAGTTTAGAAAATACATTTAATATTGCTTATACCTCCCAATACTTTATGTCTAAGCTTTTGAGAAACAGCAGTCTGTCAAGTTTACTGGGATTGAAGCAGTTCCACTCATCACTTGCGATATTGCCGGCAATCGAAAAAAGGCACACAGGGAACAGATTGATGATCCCGCGATACTTATATACTTCATAATTATAATATATTTTATAAATATTTATATGACAAATTGTTTTTTCTTTACGTACTTTACCATGGAGAATAGAGTAGCTGCAAAAGTGACACCAATGTGGCACTTAGTATAAGCTCATCGTGATGAACTCTTATGGAGGCATGTAAGGCTAGTTCTCGTTTGGTTCGTGCCCCTCTACTCTAAATATTCTCCATGTTGATAACATTTAACTAACTGCAAATAACTATATTGTTTTTTATTAAAACAGAAAAATCAAAAGTAGATTTTCTAGGGTGAGGTACCGCTTCACTTAATCGATTCAGTACTACAATTAAGTAGATTAAAAAAATTGATTCCCGCGAAATCGATTTTTTGATTAATTCTTTTTCAGAACGCATCTCTAATGTCAAATCCATGTGTCAATTGTCAAAGAAAAAGAGCACGTAAAATATTATTTTGGTGAAATACACAACATAATAGTACAGGAATTACTTAATTCACAATGAATAGTAGTGATGAAAATGAAAATACCTCAAATGTCGATGAACAAGATGAAGAAGATAGAGTGAGTACTCTTGTTGTGTTATGTATTTCAAAATACAATCATTGACTGGCCGAGGTGTTCTAACCAAGAAATATTATATTTTGAATTAAAACTTAATAAATTTAGACGTAATCCGACCTTATTACTCTTTCAGACTGAAATTAGGTCTCAATTGACAAAATTGACATTTGAAGAACTTCAAAAATTAAAGGAAAGAATTGGCGCTAAAGTTTATAAGGAAGCTCTCTTTGGTAAGACTGAGAAACCTAAAGACAATGCCTCGAAAGTTTTTAAAAGAGAAAATAAGAACAGACCAAGGGAGATGAGTTCTAAAAAGCCTGTACCTTTGCTTCAAAGTGTTCCTGTTGCAAAGAAAAAGGAAGTACGAGATCCAAGGTAAGAATTGTTATTTAAGACTATTAAGTATCCATATTAAAAAGTAAGCTACTAGTTGTTTCAAGAATTACTTAATACCAGCACAGTGTTCAATTTCCTGGGTCGGACCAAATGTTTGTACGATCTGCAAATAGTGGTGTTTTCTATTTATAATATGTATTTATTTGCAAAAAAAATAGTAAACAATTTAGCTTTCATTGTACAAGCTCTGCTTCGTTTGAAACTAAATGGAGTTGGGTGTAAGATGTCTGAAAATATTATTATTATTCTGAATAAGCTAGCTATGTAACATTATAATTATCTTTGGTTTATTATTTATAGCTTTCTCATTATGCACCTTGCACTTGGTTTCAAGAACAATGCAATTCAAAAAAAGTAATCCTCGATTAGTATATAAATAAGATTTATGGTATTTTTTAGATCTTTCAATGATTTACAAATATAATTATAATTTCTTGCAATGCCAATCATACTTGAGTATGTCCTTGAGTATGTATTTTTACATGGAACAAAATAACAAGGTTAGAATGTATAGGAAAAATGATACATAGGAGCAAGATACCGTAAGGAATACTGCAAGTCTTCAATGACTTATGCTGTAGTACCTTGAAGAAAAACTGGGGTTTTATACCTGCATGTCTAGTCTGTCATTCGAGAGACTGCTATTGCACGTCATCACATCACATCAACAGCCTTTGATAGCCAACTGCTAGACAGGCCTCTTCTTAGAAAATAGGTTTTCTAAGGAGGTTTCTACTATGCCACGCTGGCCAGACAAGTTGGTTTAGGGTTTGTGTTGTGTGTGTGTGGTTTTCCTTTCGTTTGCTGTGCTGTTGTCCTGCATATTTTGCTTTCTTAGTCGGCTCTTACTACACCCACAGGATGAATAACTTATTTTCCAATCTGTTATTAAAATAAGAGCCAAGCAATCACTAGAATCGACGTGATTGAGTTTATCTATACAAAAGCAACCTATTTCTATTAAATGATTTCGGGTAGTTAATGTTTTTTTTTTAAATGTACACATGTATGCAGCAGTGTCACTTGTTCTCAACCAGCCATCTTGGTAACAAAAACACAACACCTACTTAACACTACTGCATTTTCTTCCAATTTGATGGAGCCCCTAATAAACAATTCACATTTTATTTATATTATATTTCAGGTTCGATCCACTGTGTGGTAACTTTGACAAAAAGGAATTCTCTGACAACTACAATTTTCTTTCTGACCTCCGCATGAAAGATATCAAAGCTATACGGGCAGAATTGAAAGAGACGACTGACCCTGATAGACAAATTAGGCTTCGAAGGCTACTTCAAAGGTTGAATGACCAACATAAATCAACCAAAAAGAGTAAAATTGAAAAGGAAAAGATGGAAAAGAAAAGAGAAGAGATTGAACAAGAGTTCAAAGAAGGAAGACAACCACACTTTAAAAATAAATGTAAGTATTTCCTTTGTTGTACCAAATGTGTCATTGAGCGGCTTGTTTGAAACTAAAATGGTAAAAAAATAACTGAAAACTATACATTTGTTATTAAATAATCATAAATAATCCTTATTTAAAGTATGTATTCTGTCATATCGTATCATTGAGGTAAAATTTCACTTATAAAACACAATTTTTTTTTCTTTTTACTTAATGCTAACTGGTACCCACGACTTCGTTCGAGTGGAATTTGAAAAACGCCGCCATAGTGGGTTAGATTCCCGGGCCGGGCAAAATTTTATAGGGTTTATCTCAGATTAAAAATTTTATTCGGATGTTGCACTTCTGCTGTGTATGAATAGCTTTCAATATTATTGTGATGCTACTCCAGATAAAAGGCTTATACCAAACGGGATTACATAAATATTACAACTTTTTTAACCAATTTGTAGTACTAGAACATTTCATTAAAAATCTAACAAACCACCAATCACATTGTACACCTGAATATTTTTACAGCTGAAATACGCGTAGAGGCACTTGTCAAACAATATGAAGAGCTGAAGAAGGAAGGCGCTGGAAGAATCCAGCGTCATCTCAAACGGAGACAACAAAAAATCAAGAAACGTTCATTTAAGGCACCCACTGGAGAGACATGAAATAAAGTCATTTTCAACAAAAAAACTACTTTATTTAATGGTGTAACACATATCAAGAATTTTATTGATATCAAATCCTAAAATTTTTGTTTTTTATCTTTAGTGTTGTCACATTTTGATTGTTACGGAGGTAAAGATAAATCGATTTATATTACAAATCTTGTTTCGTTTCGCAAAAGACTTGCCAAATCAGAGATCATCATCTTGATGAATAGTTTAGTCATTCGTTCACCAATCCCCCAGGGGAATGTACAACACAACATTCCACTTCGATCCCCTTTTTTTCTGTGCGGAAATCCTCACCAATATAGATAGTTCAACTCAGATGTGCGCGCGGCCCTATGTGTGGGTAAACCTTGTACATATACAGTGACTTTGTGTGCGTGACAAGAGGTACAGTCGTACAAATACAAATATAGTTATTTACGGGTTATATACGGGTTTAAAAAAAAAGAGTTATTTCGTAATGTAATGTTTATTTATTGAACATTATTCTGAATCGCTACTTGAAAAATAAAATGATGAATTTTCGGATTCGCTGCTCTCACCAAGGTTAATTATGAATTCTGACTCCATGTCAAAATGTCTATGGTATTCTTCTTCCTTCTTTTGTACATGTCGACAAGTATTACCCCACATCCCTTCATCAATTTGACTTAAACGTTCATTTATGAGTTTCATTATGTATGCGAAGCAATATAATTCTTTAAAATTCAGGATGATATGGTGGCAGTCGAAGAATTTTTATGCCATATGGCTGAAGTATGTCGTCAATCTTGTAACAGATATATTTTTCTTTATTTTTTTTAATCAAATCATACAGTTCAATTTTTTTCATATCTTGATTAAAAACTATATTTTTTTCTGTCAGCCATCTCTGCATTTCTATTTTTTTGGAATTACAATTTGGGGCTCTGTCATTTTGAACGTTATGGTATGAGGCATTATCAAGCACAGCCACAGAGTTAGGTGGAAGATTCGGTACTAGACGTTCTTTTAGCCACTTTTCATAGTTTTCTGCGTTCATGTTAGAGTGGTAATCACCAGAAACACTATTTGCTTTGTATGTCAATAGTGCGTTAGGTACGAAACCTTGTTCTGAACCAGCATGCACAATGATAATTCTTTGTCCTTTCGACAGGTTTCTCTTTAAAGGTGGTCCATCTTTATGCAAAACAAAGGATGGGGTACCATCCTTTGTTTTGCACATGATTAGTTAAGATGTAGCTCTCATCTGTATATACGATACACCGATTTTCTTGACGGTATCTGAGTAAATTTTTTAGGTAGGAAAATCGTAGTTTTTGGATGTCATGCCGCTCTATAATAACACGTCTGTTATCCACAGTTTTTCGCCATTTGTATCCCAACTTTTACAAAGCTGTACGCAGAGTCGAAATACTTCCATCATAGTTAAGTTTATCTTGAAATATTCTTTTCAACTTTAGCAAGGTAGGTAACTCGCGATGTTCTAAATGGTAATTTTGAATAGTGGAACGTATAACATCAACGTTAAAGTTGTCTAATTCTAACTTTTTTAAACGTTTTTTACGGTCTTTATGCGGAGATTTAAATTTAGAGTCAGATTCTTTTCCTTCAGCCAATATATTAGTAATTGTTCTCTCTGATACCACTGCCATTGCTGTTCTTTTCCGTACGCTATTTAAATGTTCACTTAACTTCTATATTAAAATTGGACTTGCACTGCAAACTGGATCACTTACTAGTTCCAATATATCTCTCGCATCTATTTTCAGAAATTCGTATACCTTAGCAATGGTTTCTCGAGTCTAAAACAATAATACGTAAACGTCAACAAGGATATATTTTTTCGTATATAGAATCATAAAAAATATTAATTACATCTACTTAAATTTAAAAAATATTTACCTGACTCCTTAAACATTTTCCCCGTGAAGAACTAGACATTTTCGTAAACGACTGTACCCTTAAGAAAAAGCGATAAGAACACGTCTTGCTCGGACGACGTCTGCCGCGTCACTGCCACACGAAGGAAAGTTGTATATTTACAAGCCCACGCACACATAGAGCCGCGCGCACAACTGAGTTGAACTATCTATACCACCTACAGGTGTACCCTAGGAAGGAAATCCCTGGTACCCCGGGCCATCTACGGAGTGTAGATGACTCCCTCATGTACTGGGACCACGGTGTTCACATTTAACTCCCTAGTATAACTTTTTTAAAGCGATTAACAATGTTTCGATCGTAAATTCGGATTTTAGAATCGATTATTCTCACTATTGATTTGTTGTTTACACCCCAACCCTAATCTTAAATGTCAAAATGAACTTTTTAAATAATGTGACTGGAAAGTACTTTAACTCAGCTAATTAGACTTAACTGGACAAATGGATAACTGTTTGTTCATATTGTTCATGGCATGACATTTTGCTACACTTGCGTCATTCTGCTCAGTTTTCATTATTATCTCAAAACTTCTATGTTATGAATTTATATTAGATGATAAAAATAAAACTATTTTTATTATTAAACACTTTTGTCTGCTAAATCCGTATTAATGTTTATAAATGTTGTATATAAATGCGAAAGTAATTCTGTCAGTCTGTTACGCTTTTATGATTAAACCGCAGAACGGATTTAAAGAAACTAGGTCAGGGTCAGGCTAATACACACATATTTTTAAACAGGGCAACTCTCGTACTAGGAATATATCCTGTTTCGCGGGGGACTTCACAAACATACATTAAACGGACACAAAGAACACCCAGACTCAGAACAACAATTTGTGGATTACACAAAGTGTCATTCCATGTGGGGATCGAACCCACAACACTTAGCGGAGTAGCGACCACTTAAACCACTACGCCATCTGTGCAGGCATAGAGATTGTTTCATAACTGGGTACTCATTGTACGGTCCTAATTTTATTTAAAGTACCTAGATTGATACACTTAGGTAAATCGACATCTTCTATAGTCAACGTCCACACCGAAGTGATAAAAAAAAACCATGTTCGTAAATAGTTACCTCGGAACTCATTCCGAGATAAGATAATAAGCTGAATTTTTGTATAATACCTTTTCAATTGATAAATAATACAAATTATTCAAAATTCAAGGTAGTATTCACAGACGTTCACTGTTGACCTTGCTTTACACTACGTATATGCAATATATAATATACTCTATTGCAAAAACTGTTGAGCGAATGAAAAAATGTTTCGAAATAAAATTTGTCGCATATTTTATGCTCTACAATTTTTATAACTTTTTATTTAATATAAATTTTTAAACTATTCCAAATAGTCACCACGCGATTTGGTAGAAAATGTCTTCTAGGGTTGCTAACAGGCGAAGACCTGGTAAAATTCAATGGGTGCCCTCTCAATTGGGCATTCATAGTGTATTCCAATGTCTTTCACATTGTAGTGACAGTAAAACATTATATAAGTACCTATGCTTACATAGTACTACATACAAATCCACAAATCTAAAGTAATATGCAGATTTAAGGGGCAGGAAAAAATACAAATACGAAATACAATAATCATTTAATAAATAATGCAGGTACAACTTTTTTTTAAACACTTACCACCACCCTGAGTTGATACAAAGGAGTGAGAATGGATTGCTGATGAAGTAAGTATGCATAGTGACCACACCCTGTTTCTCCGCTAAATCATAGAGGCAATCAGGACCATCGGGTACAATCAACTGCAAAGAGAGGTACAATTAAGTATTCTTTTACGTGCACCAACAGGCTTAATAAAATTCTACCGTATTTACCATATATAATCATCATCATCAACAGCCTTTAATAGTCCACTGCTGGACATAGGCCTTTCCTTAGAAAGGTTTTGGCCTACTATACCATGCTAGTCAAACGGGTTGGCAGGTGTAGCCTTTCGGAGTAGCGAGCAAGGCAACCGCCCGGGGCCTCGCGCACACGCGCATTAACAAAGAAGAAAAATATTTGTTTCAATTTCGTGGACGTATTTATGCAATTTTCGCGTCGTATGTTTACGTTCTAGGGATTCCCATGTTTCATTTTGACAGGCTGTCGGTGTCAAATGTCGTCGGCTTGTATGTTTATGTTCGAGGAGCAGTATGTGTTGCGTCGCATTTCTTATTTCAAGTATCATCATTAAAACAAATTCCGTAAAGACAAGGGCTTCGCAAAGATCTACCCGCCCGGGATCTCGACATAATCCACCCGCCCAGGGCCTTGCAATAGCTGAAGCCGCGACTGAATATATATATATCTCTAATGATGAACAGTAATTAATTACTTCATATTCTTGTGCTAGATGTGTATACACTACAAAGACCTTGTTAAAACTGTCAAGCTACTTTAAAGCTTATATTAAGAACTAAGAACTTTCTTATGACTAAAACATTTACCTTTACAGCAAGACTGCCTGGGTTTTCAAACCAATCGGTTTTGCCACTCGGTACGTTGATTTTCCCAAATACCATAAATCCTACTCCAACAAGCTGATTAGAATGAACAAGAGGGAACCAAGGCAAAATACTTTTTTCTCCGCAGGGGGTGGTTTTGGACATATTATAATAGTAATGTTCACCTGGAAACAAGAAAAGATTATGGGTATACAAGTGCGTTATATCATATTAAAGCATTGAGTGACAACTATCTGTGGTACAACTTCCACTGAAGATCCGCATCTTTTGCTTTGGATTCACCGTAACTCGACTTTGTGCTTAATGTAACCCACAGGAAGGGACTTTTCTTTCTTGTATTAGCTTTTTTAAGTTTTTCGGCAAATACTTTACAAGAGAGTGGGCTTTCTTTCAACTTGTAAATTAGGTTTAAAATATCACATAGTTTAAAGCTAACAAATTGACAGTCGGAAAATAGTATTAGCTACAATTAAGTTAATTTATTTTTTACAATTTTATGATATTAAACTGATAGGTAGGTATATGTTTAGGTATTTGTAAAGTTAAACTTTTAATAGCAAAAGTATACGTACCTACATCGCACGAGAAAAAGCGAGAGCTAGTATGATATTTTTTGTGAAGACTATAAACACATAATATTTGATATTATAGATATACTATAGACATATAGATATACCCATAACTACTGTATATTTGTTCTTATAAGTAATAAGGTAAAGCGAAAGCTGATTATTTACAAATATATAACAATAAAAAATTCAATCCGACCTATGATGTTTTTTATAGAACAGGCGGGTCACTCCCAAAATCTGAAGAGGGATTTGGGCTGAGGTAGCCTCATTTTCATATACAGTAGCATCATCATTCACGAAGAGAATCCAACCAACAAAAATGGGTGTTTCTAAAAATGATTCAAATCAACTTACCCATCCATACTATGCAAGCCTGCGTAGTGTAATCGATGTCGATGAAATCTTTGACGGTGGTAGAAACGTTATAAAGTTTGCCCCCAAACCCGCTTAGCCAGATGTTACCGTCCTGTAGGATAGTGTCATGTTTGCGATTGGCTACACGGGTTGCCGCTGGTGTTGCTAGGGTACCTAGAAAAAAAATGAGGATTGTAATAAGAATATTTTTACAGCATCTTTCAGAATATGACTTATTTAAACAACTACAAAAATATATAGATACTCACTGGCAGAAATGTAGTACTGCTGTGCAGTCCAGAAATTCTTGGACACTCCGTTCTCCACGATAGACCAATATGTAAAGCCCTGGCTGCTCCAGTCATGGTAGGCATTAGAGAAATTCTCCTCGTCCAGCTATTATTAAAAACTTCAATATTAGCACCTATCTCATTGACACAATAAGGTATCGATGTATGTTAAAATAAAATGAATTTAGCTAGAAGTAATGCCTTTAGCCTAAAATTTTAGTTAGTTGTTAATTGCGTGTGTTGTGTTCTTTCTATAAGCTGATAATGCGAATTGTCAGTAGAATATAAACCTAATAGTTCAGGGTAAGCAGTTAATACCAGAGGGTCAATTCTCGTATCACAAAATCGTTCAATTTTCAGTTCCGATCTACTCTCGATCCCACAAATGTTATAAAAGGTATTTTCTTAGTAAAGTATTACTAAAACTAGCAGATTATCGATTCAACTTTCTGTCACAGTCCATATTTATATTATAAATGTGAAAGTGTTTGTTTGTTTGTTACGCTTTTCGCCTAAACAACTAAATGGATTAAAAAAAATCTTTCACCTATGGAAAGCTAGATTATCATCGAGTAAAAAAGGTTACTTTTTACCGCGACAACCAACAAACACGCGGACGAAGCAGCGGGCAAAAGCTTGTGCCAGATAATCACATTACAGATAACGTTGGATGTTTAATACTTTATTACCAAAATACCTTTTATGACATTTTCGAGATCGACAGTAAATTAAATCTGAATTTTGAACGAACTTTTGTTACGAGAATAGACCTCCTGTTATACTAAATACTACGAAATAAACATATACTCACAGCTATCTGTAATCCAGCGATGTAATTAGTATCGTCGAGTAGAACGCAGACAGCAAAATCGGTACGAGGGCACCACAGTGATAAGCTTTCCAGTCCTGGTGGGCTTGATGGACGCTCTACTTTTATCCACCGTTGCTGGATTGCTCTGGCGCTATTGCGCGGGAGATCCATAAACGAAGTGCTCCCAAATCCCCAAATGTCAAACCTTGCTGGAAAATACCGATTTCAAACTGCGATTTAAGATTTGAAGAAGTCACGCTGTTACCATGTAGATATGTGTGTGTGTCAAACACACATACATACTAACAGCATGATACTTACTACACTACTAAAACTAATTTTTGGAGTCGATGAGGTTTAAAAATCGACCCCTATTAATTAACACAACTTCTTATTTGAATCAATTTGAAACTTTCAAGATACTGTATTAGTTGTATTACGTATTTTAGTAATAAGTATCATTGTTGTAGTTTTAAAAAACTCAGCAAGTCGTCTGAGGTATACGTTCATTTTAGAAAAGGGGTCTCTTTCCCAAAAGAGTTTAGGAATCCCTGCACTGGCTGAGACGGTACCGCAACCGTATGTACCCGCCCTAAACGGCAGTAACGCCCAATTTTACGTTAAATCCCGGCAAAAAATTCTGTACGTGTTTAAACATTACTGATGTGATTGTAATGTACGAATTGGTAGTTTTCTTCACTAGTCTTATTTTACAACATTTTCTTCGAAATTGATATGTTTCGTACTTTAAAACTAGCTCTAAGTCTAGTTCAACAACCAATAGTGCTTTGTAAACTAAAATCTATTAATATATATTAATATCGGTATATACTTAGAATCCTGATAATTTAAAACATAATTAAAAAGTTATTATTTAAAGTTTTTTTTTAATTGCCTTTATTACAGTCAAACCGGTAACAATAGGTAGCAGGTAAACTGCCGTTCATGATGACTCAGTCATAGCTATAAAAATATGTTCACTTACCTTTTAAGCCAGGTGAATATGCTGTAAAAAACAAAAATTATTGATAAATAGCAAGTCAAAAGATGCTTTAACGACGAATCTTTAAAAGCAGAGGCTTTTACATTTTATTTCATATTTTTTTTAATGAACCTATTTCAATGGGCAAAAGAACACACACCTGCAACTTAAAAGACCAAAGTGGGGTGTCACCCTTCGCCATGTTGAGCCTCTGACACCTTTACTCACTCAGTGCAAGGCAAGAAAACAATGGCTTAGCATTGGTTTTCTGTTAACTCATGAAATCACTCTAAGTATAGTAGTATATACTCTAAGTATAGAATAAATGTTTTGTTTCGCAATCAAATACTTTCTCTTAAACGAATTAGAAGTAATATATTTATAAGTGTCTAATACCAAAACCTTTTAATCTGGTATTAATGCTATATCACAAAATAAGAAAAGCGTTTACAAGCCGCTAATAATTAAAATATTGTTGCTGATAAAGTGGATTAAAGGTAGTGTTCAATTTCACCCTATTAGAGAAAAGACGGGGATTACTAAGGATTTGACTTACCGGAGAAGGCAGGTGCCACAAAGAGGCACAATAAAGCGAAAGCACGCATCATGATTGATAACGGACTGTAAGATACGCTTACTATCCCGTTTTATATACCGAAGAAAATCAAGATCAAAATTGGCAATTTTTCCCTTTAATTAAATAGTATCGAACGATTAAGATTAATTAAACGTATTAGGTTTGTAAGATAAGATAAAGATAAGATAGTACTGCGGAATATGTTGTTAACGTACTAAAATCTAACGACTAAAACAGAATGTAACGACTTTCTATGCCGAAACTCGAACAATTAAATTCAGTAGTGGGTGAATATTTCATTTCGTTCACATTGCACGGCGGACGATAAAGAATACAATACATTAAACATTAAAAGAATCTTTATTTTTAATATTTTTTTTCTGTTTTTATTAACATATTAGAAATGTACCAAATTTTGTAATCAAACCATAATTATAATTAAAATCCATGTCTGTTTTTCCAGATTTTAATAAATTGGTACATCTTGGTAAACATTCTGTTTGAAGAACGATTATTATTATTATATACGTTTTCGGTTAATAGATTACTTAATCTAAATTATCTAATCTAAATTAATTTAAAATGAACAAAATTAAATATGTTTATATTTTTTTTTATTTTTTTTGTGTTAACTTCTCAGGAACTTTAATGTAGTCTATATTAATACACAGAGTATTCCGTCCCATTTCCCAGAGATGCTGACTACCTTTGACTGTAAAAGTATTCATGCAATCCTTATTTCGGAGTCATGGTTAAAACCATGTCTTCCCTCTACGCTCTCCCTTGCTGGCTTCCAATTGATAAGAAATGATCGGGCGAATGGTGTGGGTTGAGGTGTTGCCATATACCTATCATAATATTCCTTATCGTATCATAAATTTGTCACCGCAACCACCACCACCAAACGCAGATGAGCATTTGATTTTAGAATTGGAGCTCAAATTACTTTCACATCAAATTACTACTTGGTGTGTACTATTCTCCATCCTCTCGAATAAATTTTCTGCCCTCCTTTGAATCATTATTAGATTGTTTAACCCCCATTTACCATCACTGTATCATCATGGGAGATTATAACACATGTCTGATAAAAAATGACCATCGCTCTTCCTCCCTTACCAGTACAGCCGAGTCTTATAATACTCGTATGTCTATTCTCCCTTTGAATGCTACTCAACACTTTCCTAATTCTATTCCGTCCCTTCTAGATTTTATACTTGTTTCCTCCTTAAATTCAGTTGCTAAGCATAGATAGAGCACCTGATATTCCTTTCATATAAACTACGACCTCCCAAACCTAAATCCAAAATTCTTATGCAGCGCAATTTTAGGGACATAAATCTCGAAACACTCCGACAAGATGCTGCTTTAATCGATAGGAGTTTGCTGGTAGAAATAAATTCCATAGATGAAAAAATCAACTTAGTAAATGCTAAGCTAACCAGCCTCTACGATATACATGCGCCGGTCAGGGCTGTCAGTGTTAAACATTGACCCTCACCATAGCTAACAGACGACATAAAATCTTTTATATCTAAAAAAAGCTGTAGCCAAAAGTAAGTTTAAATCTCAGCCTACCTCACCTATCAACCGAGAAAAATATGTTACCATCCGAAATCTCTGCAGTAAGGCTTGTAGGAAAGCACAACGACAATACATTCACAATTCGGTCGAGAACGGAGACCCGGCAAAAATTTGGAAGTTTCTCAAAACATTGGGAGTTGGTATATTGGTTAGTTTACATATTCACATTGAGATTCCAACCAGATCGACATCGAGTTGCTAAATCAACATTTACAATTACCGAATATCATGTTTAACATTACTGCACTACCAATAAATCTAGGGATTTACATTGATAATACCTTATCCTGGGGCCCCCAATTGCGAGAGGTCAGTCGAAAATTGTTTGCATCGGCGGGATCCTTGCGAAGACTAAGTAATTTTCTCCCAACGGCAACTACAATTGCGCATGCGCAATCCTTCCTCCTTCCTATACTCGACTATGCTGATGTCAGTTATCTCGAGGAGCAACTCGATAAACTTGAGCGCCTTCAAAACTTTTGTAAAAGATTTATATTTGGATTGCGCAAATATAATCATGTATCTGAATATCGCAACCAGCTTAAGTGGCTTCGAATTTGCCTTGCTCATATTCTTTCCTTACTTTATAGTATTCTATTTCATCCGTTTACTCCAACTTATTTAAAGAAACGCTTTGTTTTCCTCGGTGACACACATTCAAGTTCCCTGAGGTCATCTAAATCTCTGGAACTGGCAGTACCATCACACTACCACGTTTTACGATAAGTCGTGCAAAAACTTTACCTACCTTTAAAAAAATGTTCAAAGAACATTACCTGTCATTTTAATTTATTATTTACAAAACATATTCTATCTGCTGTATTCCTCTGCAAATGAATTGTAGAGTTTATGGATTTGTGTATGTATGTATGTATGTATTACAGATTACTTATGTATTAACTTTTATTTATATAAGTAGGTATTGTTAGGACTGACTGCTGTATATAATTAACACTACCTACTTTGTTTTATAACTGTCAAAGGAATGCTGTTGTGCTGTATAAATATATATTTTTTGTTTCCTTTACAATTTTTTCTCGGCAAATCTGCCCATGAATTTACCTATTTACAGTCTATTATCCAACCAAAGGTTGCCTGTAAGAGATTGCTTTTTAGCGACAAGGCCGCCATTTGTACATGGTAACTAACTTGCAATACTATTGTATGTGTTGATGTACAATGGTGAATTGGTGTACAATAAAGATTATTCTATTCTATTCTATTAAACAATGTTATTAATTAGATGTTATTTACGAAAGAACAAATTTAACTAGCTTCATATGACTTTCAAGAATGTCTCTATACTCACCTATAAATACCATTCGACCATATTCTCGATCCGATATTTTCGTATTTACGCGCTCCTGAGCACCAGACTGAATAATAGGTCTTTACCTATGAAATTGCCATTTTGTATGCAAAAGTGAAAGTACTTATTTTTTCAAACTTTTTTATTTCTGTTATTCGAAGTAATCACCCATGCAATCAACGCATCTTTCAGGGCATCAATAAACTGCCAACGCATTGGCAGTTCATTGATGCCCTTCTTGTAAAAATCAGCTGGACGGGAGGCAACAAACTCTTCAAAGGCATTTTGTACTACCTCTCGGGAATTGATTTTTTTACCCACTAAAAAGTTGTCTAAATTTTGGAAAAAGTAATAGTCGGTAGGTGCAAGGTCTAGTCTAGTGGTGCAACTAACTAGTTGAGACCCGCGGTGTTACCCGCGTTTGTTGTGCGGGCAACGCCGCGGGGCGAAGCTAGTCTAAAAAAAGTAGCCTAAGTTACTCCTTATGTCATCAGCTATCTGCCAGTGAAAGTCCCGTCGAAATCGGTCCAGCCGTTCCAGGGATTACCCGGAACAAACAGACAGACAGACAAAATTTGTAAAAAATGTTATTTTGGTATATGTACCGTGTAAACACACATATGCATTTAGTAAAAAGCGGTTATTTTAATATTACAAACAGACACTCCAATTTTATTTACTTGTATAGATTATTTTTTTAGCCATGGTAATGCCATGTTTCGGCATATACTGGCCAGGCTCGCCCGGAGTGATACCAGGGCCTCACAGAAAACCGGTATAAAGCAAGTCCTTCGTTGCTTTTCACTGAGTGAGTGAGGTTACCGGAACTCAAACCTCCCGTCTCCTTGCAGTGCCCCCTATAGTTCTTTCCACTTGAACCCCCCGCATGGTCCCCCTAGGGGGTCCATGGACACTCACTAGTCACTATTACACTTGGACTGGGGGTCCAAGGGGTGTGAGAATTATTCTCTTAAATGTATATTCAACTTTAACCCCTAGACATTGTACACTGAAGGAAATTAAATTTGAGAATTAAAATCTAGCTTTGTAAACATTACATATTGTCAATTTAATCGGATTTATCGCGCGGATTTATCGCTTTGAGGGGATCTCTTACAGGCAACCATATGCAAAGACTATATTGAGGGGGTCCAAGTGTAATAGGGGAGTCCTGCCTACCTTAATATTATTTAAGGGTGTTTCGCCTATTTCGTGCAAATTCGGTGAAAATTCTAAATTTCAAATTATTGTCAAAAAACTTTTTTTTTTCTTATTTCATTACTATATACTTAATTCTTCAACCTTTTATTGTTTCTACCTTATTTTTGTGAAAAACAATGAAATTATTAGCATATCAAAAATTGGAATGAGATAGTAATGAGAATGTTGGGGAGGGGAATGATTTTGAGTCGTTAGCTATGGGAAATAACACAAAATGACTGGAATGACACAAAATGTTGTTATACAAAGATGCATTTTTAATATTTATGATTCAAGAATCTAATTGCTATAGAAATAATGATCATAACATAATATGGGCCATTTCTCCATGCCTTCCTTAAAAAAAATTCTTTATTAATACAATCAAAATCTAATTTATCTAAATATTTATATTAATTACTAATTTTTGGTAATCCGAGATCAAGAATAAGAAAAGTCTCTCTTTACAAATCTTAAAATCATTTCACAGATTTGTATCTTCTTTGTCGGTGTCATAATTCCAAAAGTCAATTACTCGTAATTTCTTCTGCTTTTCATATATTTCGTCTTTATTTTCTTTTGTGCAATTTTCATTACTACTCTTACCCATAATAAACTTTTCAGTCTGTTTGATAATTATTACTAATTTGTTTTTTTTAACAAGTTTTTCCTTATTAATGTAAATTTTTTTTGCCCAATCAGTCAAATTTATATCCGACAGTATTTTAACCTTTGGTGAGTACGGTCTATTTAGCAATTTATCTTCGAATCTGATTGATGGTTCAGAACGAGTAATTGAAAAATCTGGGTTGCTTATTTCTTTTATGAGTTCTGGTGTCGTATTCTCATCAATAAAACTCTGAAACTGGCTAGAATTGACATTATCATGAAAAGTATTCCTTTTCATGATGACGTCAATTCTAGCCAGCCTAAGTTCC